ATTCCTTAAGACGTTGAGCAGGTTTCAGGTATTTAATACAATACAAAAAATTAAAATTTTGCTACTAGGTACGGTTGTGTCAGGTTACGGTATTGACAGACGTAATAACACTAACAGCTGATTGATTTTAAGATAGGATCCATAGGAAAAATAATGAAGTATGTTTGTTCAAACAAGTTTCCATCATTAACATGATTTGTAGGCCAAATTGCTTTTAAAGGATCATACGTATTTTTTATTCGATTTATTTTAATAATAACTTTTATACATATTGATAACTTCTAGTGAAAACGAACTGTTGTACCTAAAATTATATGAATATAAAATGAATATATCATTATATAGAGTTTTGTTAAAAATGTCTGATTTTTTATACATGAGAAAGTTTATATCAATGTTTTCCAACTTTATTCAGCCGTGCCTCACTCTAATATTTATACATTTTGTATCATTTGAAACATGAATTTTAGCATACAACAATAGATTCATTTCTTTGAAAAATGTCGAATCATTTCGAAATTGTTTCCCCACGTTGAAAAACAAAAATACGACGCAAAATTACATGATACTTTTTTTGTTAATTGAATTTTACACATAAAATAAATTTTATAGTGAGATAATAAAATTAGTACGTTATATAATCATTTTCGACATCCTCGAGGATCTGCACTCAAACATGTATGTGATAGATGATATTTAGTATTAATCTATTTGCTATTATTGTATTAATTAAGTAATTCCCTTATACCTTAGTAGACCATACTTATACTTCATCCTAAAACTTAAGCATATGAAACATTCTGATATTCAGCATTAAAATCATTCTAAAATATATCAAATATTCAAATTTAGCCATTATCTTGATATTTCATGAAGTATTACAATACAAAAAGATTATCTAAAAGGATATCAAAAATGAAATTAGCCTAATAGCAATAAATTATTTACAACTTAATAAATTTTTGTTTATCATAATTTGCGAACCAATTATATTATTTTATATATACATGGATCATCCTCAAATGATGAACTGCAAATGTGATTAATATGTAAATATAATTAAAGGGTAAAAACGGAAGGAAAACAAAGAGCCTATTGATTATCAGTAAAGGCTGTTGATGATACTACTTGTTTTTGAAGAAATATTGATATTGGCGTTTCCAAATTTTAAGCTTGTAATTAGAATTGGATACTTCTTAGAGATCATACAAATTTAATTATTAATTTATACTTTATTCAAATGTTAGGATTATTACACTTCTTTCAAATTCATGTCACAAACTTTTAGAAAAACTCTAAGTAACTAATACACTTATTAGGCATGAAAACCATTTCAGTGAAATCTAGTCTTTCATGAAATCATCAATATAAACCATTTCAGCGTTTGTGGAGTTACTCTTTAAACACTAAACTTCTGTAATTCTGTTCTCCAGTATCAGCATAATATGTAAATTTTACAAATAAGCGTAAAATTTAAACCTAGACATATTTCATAACATTTCAATTACTGTGATGCTCCGATACGATATGGAGATAATTACTTACGAAATAACTTCATTGTGAAATCTAGTAACAAATTGCTGTTCATGTAACCAATCCAGTACAATGGATATTCGCGATTAAGATTCAGATTATAAATATTCAAATTTATCTCGAATTCATAGTGAACTATTAGATTCTGATCTCGATTCTTTGTGTAAATTTTGAGTACCTATTATGATTATGATCTTATGGTGAACATCATAGGATACATACGTTTTTTTACTCATTAAATATTATTCGAGAATCAAAGTGACAGAAGACCTTAAGTACATTTTGTTTATACTACAAAATATTTCACAAATATTGAAAATATTTTTGCATCAAAATTTTAACGTTAAAAAGACTTTACTAAACTAATATTGGTAAGTTTCATATATTTATTTATGAAAAAACTAAAAATGACAATTATAAAAAATATAAGTGCATTTCCAAAATAGAGATAATAGTTAAAAATAATATGGATGTGTTGATTGCGAATGAAGAACTTTGAAAATATTTAATGTTAAAAAATAATATTTATGATTTATATACAATCTGTTCAAATTATTTTCAAGAATATTAAATTAGGTTTTGCTCAAATTCGAAATTAATTTGCAAGTTTGAGCGTGAATTGAGAACACAAGTTCTTATTAAAACAAAATTGGTGATATCCATTTATTGATACGATTCGAAGAATACATATATATATAAATATGTAATATATATATATATATATATATATATATATATATATATATATATATATATATATAAACATTATAATCGGCCATTTTAGTTTATGATTTTTGCTACAAAAACAAAATCGTTCGCTAATTACACATCATAATCAAGAATGTATAATAATAACAAATTAAAACTGCGTATAAACTGAATCGAAATATAACCTGTATGTCGATTGCTATAATGTTAATATTTGATATTGGCTGTTGAATAATCAAACAATGTGTTTCAACGCTCAATCAACTCAAGTTTTGTTTAATGTATTATTTATTTGCAACATTTAGAAACTATTTACTGGGTGCATTGGGCCAGGGGACAAACAAATCCAATGTCTTAATTTTAATTTTTATTGGATTTCACAAAATTATAGCAACAGTTTAGCAAAATTATAGCATTCAACCAATGCAAAATTTTATGGGTATAGTTTTATAGAGATAACACTGTATATAACCTTAATCTGGTATTTCGTCAAAAATATTCATCAGTAGGAATAACTATTTATTTAATTATCTTATGTAAAATGTTCTTTTCAATTTAATTAACTATTTTATTTGCTATATTATATTTTTCAAACCTTTGCCAGGATAAAAGTTCAGTTGTTAACTTCCAGTAGGGCAAGTTATAGTAATCGCAAAAAATCGAAAATAAATATATATATATATATATATATATATAGCGGGTTGTCAACACGCATCGCGGCTCGTCAACACGCATCACATGTCTACTGGACAGATAGGCCCATTTAGTGACAGCACGGAGAAAAACAAAAATAAATTCAAGTGTCAGATCGGAAATGGCTTTTGTTTCTCCCTAGTCGAATTTGCTAAAATGTATAATTCTTAAAACCTTTCTTTTCAATTATAAATAAGAAAATACCAATAACATTTTATTAACGATCAGTATGACAACACATAGTGTCGTGGATATTAATCATATATAAAATAAACCAAATATAAATAATATTTTATGAAATTTATTATGACTACAATTTCGCACAATTATGGTATTTAATATGGAGCACTATAACGCCTCCATATATATATATATATATATAT